TTTACCTGAAAATCCTACATTGCCACAAATTCGTCGAGATGCATAGAGCTCCATAAAGAATTTTAAAGGTCTATCCATTCTCCATTCAGCTGTATCAGAAGATATTTTTCCAAAACTGGTTGGATTTAGAACGACAAAAAAATCTTGGGATTATTTAAAGAAAGAGTAAGCTAGAAGTGCAAAAGTGAGAGGTATAAAATTATTAACATTAAAGAGGGAGTTTGAACAAATGAAAATGCAAGAAGGTGAAAGTGTTAAAGACTACTCTACCAATGTTATAAATCTGGTGAATCAAATTAGATTGTTTGGAGGGGATTTTAAGGATCAAAGAGTAGTAGAAAAGATGATGATCAACCTTTCAGAGAAGTTTGAATCAAAACTCTCAGTGATCGAAAAAACTTGCAATCTGATAAAGTTGACAGTGGCCGATCTGATAAGCAAGTTACAAGCTCAAGAGCCAAAAACTTCAATTAAAAGCGATAGTAAGGGAAAGCAAGTTGCTACAATCTCAAAAGAAGCTGGTCAATCTTTTGGGCTTAAAAGTAAAGAGCAGCAAAGCTCAAAAGAGTCAAATAAAAAAGAAAAACTTTTTGTTTGCAGCCTTTGTAACAGAAGTGGGCATCTGGAGAGTAAATGCTTGAAGAATTTGCAATGTAGAGTTTGTAAAAAGACATGACACATCGTAAAAGTTTGTTGGAAAAGAAATAAAAAATTACAGAATTCACAACAGCAACAAAAACAGTCTACTGAGTAACAATAAACTAACTTTGTGGAGAATCAGACGTAGCAGAAGTGCCATTTGTTTATGGTTACTCAAGATCTTTATGTACCTGATGTTGATATGTGGTACATTGACAGTGGTTGTAAAAGCCACATGGCTAGAGATCGGAAACTATTTTCTAGTCTAGATTCCAGTTGTAGAACCAAAGTGAAATTTGGAAATTGTATGATTGTGAAAGCTCAAGGCAAAGGTTCAGTGCCAATTCACACTAAATAAGGTACAAAATTTATTATTAATGTCTTATTTATTACTGATCTAGAGTAAAATTTATTGAGTGTGGTTCAAATGCAAACCAAAGGATATTCAATTTTATTCAGAAATAATTGCTGCCATGTATATGATGCTGTAAATATTGAGGTTGTGAGAGTTAAGAAGGTTGATAATAGTTATATTTTATATTTGAAGCATGTGAATCAAATTGCCTTGTCTATTAAAAATGATGAAACATGGCTGTGGTATAAATGTTTTGGTCACTATCACATTGATGCATTAAAGTTGATGCAGAAGAATGGTATGGTGAATGATATGCCTATTATTTCTGGTGGAGAAGAAGTATGTGCAGCTTGTCAGTATGGTAAAATGCATAGGACCAGTTTTTCTACTGATAGAGTTATTTGTGCAATAAAAAAACTTGAACTAATCCACTCTTATGTTTGTAGACCTATGAGTGTTGCTTTCTTAAATTGCAATAAATATTTTATTTTATTTATAGACGATTTTACAAGGATGACTTGGGTTTATTTTCTCTCAAGCAAGGGTCAGGCGCTTTCTGTGTTTAAAAAATTTAAATCATATATAGAAAAGTAAAGTAGGTGTGAGATAGCAAACTTAAGCTTTGATAATGGCAATAAATATATTTCAGCTGAATTCAGGAAATTTTGTGATGATTATGGTATATTGCAGCAATTTACTGTTACTTATTCATCTGAGCAGAATAGAGTCTCAGAAAAAAGGAATAGGACAGTAATGAAGATGGTCAGATGCTTGATGTTAGAGAAGGAGTTGCCCAAAAGTTTTTTGGACTGAAGCTGTATATACTACAGTTTATCTGCTTAAACGACTTCCCATAAGATCAGTTAAAGAAAAAACTCCAATTGAGGCATGGAGTGGTTCAAAGCCTTCAGCAAAGCACTTGAGAATTTTTGGCTTAATTTGCTATACACTTGTTCCTTTTGTGAAGAGGACCAACTTGGATGACAGAGCTCAAATTGGTATATTCTTGGGATATGCAGGATAAGCCAAAGGTTATAGAATTTATTATGTGTATTCTGGTGAAGTATATGTCAGTAAGGATGTAAAATTTGATGAACAAGCTTGTTGGAATTGGGAGAAGAAGCAAGTTAAAATAAAGAAAATTGAGGAAGGCTCAGTTGCCTTCGAGTCTACATCCGGTCCGACTAATTATATTCAATATGAACAAAGCGACCATGATGTTGATTCAGATCCTACTGCTGATACTCCTACCAAAAAAACAAAATCATTTGCTGAAATTTATGAGAGATGCAACTTAGCAGTTATAGAACCATCTAACTTTGATGAGACCTCAAAGTATCCTAAATGAAAAACAATTATGCAAGAGGAGTTTGACACAACTTGCAAGAACGAAACATGGGAGCTCACATCAAGACCTCTGAACAAGAATGTGATAGGGGTCAAATGGGTCTACAGAACTAAGTTTAATGCTGATGGGTCAGTCTTCAAGTATAAAGTTAAACTTGTGGTGAAGGGATATGCTCAGTTTGCAAGAGTTGAGTTTGGCAAACTTTTGCACCAGTTGCAAGACATGAAACAATAAGGTTACTTGTACCTCTTGCAGTAAAGAAAATTTGGAAGCTGTTTCATTTAAATGTGAAGTCAACTTTTTTCAATGGAGCCTTGGAAGAAGAGATTTATGTGGAGCAACCTCAAGGCTTTTAGATTTTTGAAGATGGTGATTGTGTGTATAAGCTAAAGAATGCCTTATATGGGCTTAAACAATCTCCTAGAACTTGGTACACCAAAATTGATTCACATTTGATCAGCATGAGTTTTAGGAGGAGCAAAACTGAAGCAACTCTTTATGTGAAGGGCGTTGACAGGAACAATCAGCTTGTTGTGTCAATATATGTTGATAATTTGCTGGTGACAGGAGGAGACTTAAAGATGCTAATGCAATTTAAACAACATATAGTGGCAGAGTTTGAGATGTCGGATCTTGGGAAAATGACTTATTTCATTGGTATAGAGGTCAAACAACTTGATGATGAAATTTTTCTTTTTCAAAAAAAGTATGCATGAGATGTCTTAAAGAGCTTTAAAATGGAGAATTGCAAGTCAACTACCATACCACTTTCTGCAGATGAAAAATTGTCAAAGTTTGATGAAGCTGAGAAAATAAATGCAAGTTTTTATAAAAGTTTGATTAGAAAACTCCTTTATTTGACTGCTACCAGGCAAGATTTAATGTTCTCAGCTAATTGTTTATCAAAATTTATGAATTCACCTAGTCAAAAGCACCTTGGAGCAGCAAAAAATGTGCTGAGGTATTTTAAAGGAACTATTGGTTATGGTATTTGGTATTCAAGAGAAGAAAGTGATGCATTGCAAGGAAATTCTTATAGTGATGGGGTTCAGATGATTGCAAGAGTACTTCAGGATTTGTTTTTTCATTTGGATCACGTGTTTTTGCTCGAAATTCAAAGAAGCAGGAGGTTGTAGCTTAGTCCACTAC